TCCTCCAAGACGCTCACACACGCCGTTCTGCCAAGGTGCGTATGCCGCTGTGACGACATGCTCTGTACCATCGGTTGACAGTTTGTCTGTCCATGTGGCTCCAAATTCAGGCCCTCCATCACTTACAACTGTCCTTGGAGCGCCTGCCCATCTTTTCCAAAACCTACGATATGCCTTTCTTACATGCTTCACCTCAATGCCTTTCCACAATGGAATGCACACCTGATAGCGAGTAGCAATGTCCACAATGTTCAACAGCTTCAACTTCCTGTTTGCCAACTCAACCTCAAACGTATCGACACAAACAAGCTCATTGAACGACAAATCACGCACTGCTTTCGACGCATTGTGACTTTTCTCACCCTGCAATTCCTTACATGTTGCACATGTCAACCCCTTAGCTAGCCTAATGCGCGTTTCATTAGCCCTAGCGGCCTTCAGCATGGCGACAAACCTGGGAGTCGACGGATGGCCAAGATTCTCATGGCATCTTTTCAACAATGCAACAATCTTCTTCTCGTCCTGGGTGTTCAACGTTTCGACTGTCAGCACGCAATGTACAACGTGGCCTTGCTGTCGTCGTTGTTGGTCGTCTCGCAACCCCAACAATATTTCTTTGCAAATGTCCTGAGGATATTCTTGAGCAAGGCTTGACCTAGTCTTCCACCCATTCTCAGTCTTTACCATACCAATGACACGTTCGTGTGTGTGTGTGTGACTTGTCACAAAGCTTACTCAGCCTACGTGCTATTTCATCATTGTTCACAAGCAGTCGTGTTCGTTTCCTGTGAGGTTTCCCGTTTGCCACATCCTTCAAACCAAACATGCATTGATCCATGACTACCTGCTGCACACCAGGTTGCTTAGCTACCGCAATGACATCAGGATTCTCCCATGTTTTAGCTCCGTGTGGTTGCTCAAACAGGAAACAGTCTCCACGTTTCATTTGATCGTTTGCCAACTGCATGCTGAACTTCACAAAAGATTTTCCTTCTTGCACTCTACTTAGCCACTCTTTCACATCGACATGTTCGTTCAACCCTTGCAAAGTGCTAGCAGTACCGCATGGTGGACAGATCAAAAGCAAACGTGGCTTCATGACGTTGAGCTTCTCTCTCAGCTCTTTCCTCTTCTTTTCACTTCGAAAGTCCCAGCCGGTGATTATGTCAAATGACCCTCCACACGAAAGGCCAGCTGACTCTGCAAGTTTGCACAGTCTGGACACTGAGAAAACTTTTGCCACATCGACCTTGGATGTCTCCTCTGCAGTTATATACAAAATGTCTATACGATCATTTGGACCTTTTCCAAAAGTCCATTCCCTCTGCAGAGCTTCCGTCACAAACTCATAGTCCTCTTTTTCCAAAGGTCTTTCATGGCATGCTGGCTCATGTCACGAGCTCACTTGTAGGTCTTGGGCATCGGACCCTGAGAGCAATCGGACACCCCTTCCCATTCGCGAACTCGTTCAGCCAGTTCTCCTCCTCCTCCTCCTCCTCCTCCATGGCACCCTGATGTGGCGCTTCCTTGGCCCAGCCTCCGCCCTCGCGAACGCGAGTGCGAGGCTTTTGCATCTCGCTCATCTTCTTCAGGATGCGCTCCGTTGCACGGTTGATGTGCTCCTCCGTCATTTCGGATGAGGCCGCCTGGCTCTTGGCACGGCCTTGCTCTTGGGAAGATGGGGCATCTGTTGTGACGTTGAGGATGCCTTCATGGCCTTCTGGTCTGCCCACTTCTCCTGGAGACGCTGGGTCTTTGCTGTGTCCACACACTCGATGTACAGGCGTAGCTTTTTCATTTTTGCGCACGACTTCAGGTTGACATTCTGACCCATTGGACATAGCTCTTGTCCTCGCGATAGATGTCTGTCAGACTCTTCTTCCCCTTGTACTTGCCCGCCTCGCAAATGGTGTCTCCCATCACAGGACTCTCTGCCTCGTCTTCTGAATGGTCTGACGTCTCGTCGAGATTGGTCTTGGCGAAGAAGTCCTTGCTGTTGGTCTCCTCCATTGCAAGGCTCCCCATCAGCTCTGGGGCAAGCTGACTCGACATCGTCTCTAGGGAGATGTTCACGAGACCTTCTTTCAAGATCTTGGACTTTGCCACTTTCCTCGAGCACTGGAATTGCGTAGTGACCACGCAAAGTTCGTTTCATCTTGATTGGAGTTCTATCCAGTTTCAAAAACACACACTCATCATTCTTCATATCTAACACACATTCAAGCTGCCTCAAAAGTTCCTTCGAAAACAAAAACGGCGTTCGAGATCCAGAATCCGGCCACACTGCTGCATGCACAATTGCCCTTCTCCTACCTAGCCAAACGGGAATCTGCGCAATTTCCCTGGATGTGAGCGTGCCAGCATTCCCAAACCTAAATTCATTCACCTCCTGACACCTGATGACTCTCAACCCTTTTTGATTCAACCTACGTTCCATCCCCTGAAGAATCAACTCACCAACAAGAGTCTTACGACAAGCGGTGTCTGGCACGGCATATTCACACAAGTCTGCGGATTCCTGGTCTTTCAAAAATTCGAACTCATGAGATGACTCAGCGGCCCCCCCTCTCACTGCACTCAGAGCATCTTGTTCAAAGGTGGTCATCACCTCCAACTCGTCATCGATCTGGGTTTCATGACGCCTGGTGGTCAGTGAGCCTCCGGTCGTGGCTTGCTTCTTCAAAATGAATGAAGTCTTGCCTTTCCACATCTTCTTGAGCTTGGCGTTTGGTTGTCTGCTGACATGGTAATTGTCTTCTATCACCTCGGTCGTGCGGTCGTCATAGTGGACCTCTGTGTGTCTTTCTCCTGAAAGGCCCTTCAAGTCCACTGGTAGGTCTGTCATTCCAGTTGGAGTGAACAGGCCCTTTCTCATCTTGTGGCGCTGCCGAAGGAGAACTCCATCACATAGTTCCCATTCATCCTTCACCCTCTTCACATTCTTCTTCTCCATCATCGTCTTCTCTGGCACTTCTGTCTGGTAGACCTCGAATGTCTCGTCATCACTTTCAATGAAGTCAACCACATGTACTTCCTTCTTGTTGTCCGCTGATGCAGCTGCCCGTTCGTTCATCTTCAACGGACATTCTTTCTTCCAGTGACCTGTGCGTTTGCACAAGTGACACCGTGTCTTCTGTTTCAATGCTTCGATCTTGCCCTTCACGGTGCCTGACAATTGCCATGACTGTGGTGTGGATCGATATCCACGGCTGATTTTCTTCTCATGCATCTTCTTTCTCACCATGGCATAGGCTTCAAAAGTGTCAAGAGCATCTTCACTCTCGTAGCCCTCCACTTCTTGCACCTGTTGGGCGATGGTCTCCATCACCTCCAACGGTTCCCGGTCACTGTCATCTTCATATGCTGATTTCTCCTTTCTCACATGGCCTTCCTCCTCGGTCACGAAGATGTCCTTCGTCTTGGTGTTCTTGGTGGATTTGCCATGAGGGAAGACATTCCTCACTGCAGCTGCTCAGCTGCTATGTCTGGGTATTTGACTGAACCCTGACTGGCCGTCAGCACCATGGACTCAGCGGTGGCATCCAAAGCTAGCTTCTTCAGGAGCATCCACCCTCGGACTTCTTCCGGGAGCTCTACTCCGTTCCGAGTCAAAGCCTTGTAGGCCGTGTCGAGCCGAGTCATGAAGCTCCGATACGATTCGGCCTCTTTGATGCAGATCACATAGAAGTAATCTTTCATCACACGTTGCAACTCGTCCTTGGACGCTTCTTTGTATTTCTCGTCCAACATGTCGAGGACCAGCTTCCATCCTGTATCCTTCGTGATTTCTTCTATTTCCATTGCCTCTAACAATTCCTCAGCCTCGCCGCTCAAATGCTCAAGAAGTTTTGCTCCCCACTTTTTCTCTGGGATGTTCGTGGGTAATGCCATCAAGTACAAATGAGCCCTGCGCCTCCACTTTCTGTATTCACTCGTGTTCTCACCAGTGAAAACCTCCAAGCTCTTCGTGTTGCCCTCCTTGTCATTCGAACTCATCACGGCCCACCGTTCTCCCAAGCGTCGCTCCCTTCACTGGTGCTGAGTATATCGTCCAGCACCAGATCCAGGAGCTCCGCTACCACTGACGAGCCCAACCTCGATGGATCCCTCGCTCATGAAACATCGGCCGTCTTTTCAAGCTGTGCTATGGGGGGCCTTGTGCCGAAATCCGGATTCGTTCAACCTGTACTCGCGACCACGGATCGATATGTTAAGTCTTTGACTTTCACACCAGAGACATCGCTTGAAAAGACATGGGCACCGACATCGAGCAAAGCCAGGACGAAGCATACCATCAGCACAGTGCTCGCCCTGATCCACCGTGCAGCTGAAGCTGACTTCAAGACGCAGTGGTACAGGCACAGCGGCCCGATCCAAGCTGAACACCGGAATGTCGTGAAGCGCCGCGATTCTGAATGTCACCCACAGCCCCGAGACTTGCTTAAAGTTTGGCCGGGGCGCGTTGACCACGGGGAGAACTTCCCGCTTCCAAGCCGGTCACCAGCTTGTCTATACGCTCCGACCACCAGAACGTCGTTGACATGCGCCAAAGCAGCTGTGGGTCGGTCAGTCCCGCAGCTGAACAAGCGCCAAAGGTGCACCACCAAAGCCTTGCTGGCACCATTGACTGTCTGAAAATGGACCGATCAATCTAATGGAAACACTGACGGCAGTATTCCTGGTGCTGGACAATCTAGCTAACTGTGTCAATCCTTTTGGGCCTCATTGTGCAGGTGTCACGTTTAAATATGTTCACTTGTTCTCTTCTCTTCTTTTTCTTTCTGAGTCTCATCTTATCTTTTCTTCTCTTCTCTTCTCTTCTTTCTTTCTTGTTTCTTTCGTTAACAGGCTGTTGTACATGGCTCTTCCAAAGAACTGTCCTGCAACAACCAACCTTCACACCGGATTTCACCAGGCCCGCCGGGCTTCCCCGACCACGACCACACACCGAGTGACCGAGTTCGAACGAGCACGGTCCGGTTCCGCCGGGCTTCCCCGACGAGTTGTTCACCGATCGTCCGGAGGGCGTCGCCCTCTCCTTCTGCTCCTCGATGCCGGCGCCGATCCGTGAGGGGCCGATCCGTCGGGGGGGGGCTTGCGCAGTGAGGGGCGGGCGGTTGCGCTCGAAAAGACACACCGCGGGCTTTGGCGCGGTACCGCGAAGCGAGACCAGGCGTCTGAAGTGATCATGTCCAGGTGTCTGCAATTGCAGTGGTATGTCCAGGTGGATACAGGGAACCCCATCTAGAGAGAGAGAGAGAAAAAACGGTCACATCATACATCTTGATCATGTTGGGATCATGAAAATTGGCCCACCTATAGAATTTCTATGAATTTCTACCTGGTGGGCAAAACTGAGTTTTTTTGGCCTCACAAGTTTCGATAAGCTCTCATTTTCAGATAAGACTCGCAAACAAATGATTCCAACTGCGCAACATCTCCATGCGACCTCTCTCTACTTGAAAGGATGTCCAGTGGAACCAATTCTGGAACTAGGTAACTAGATGAACTGTACAATCGTCACGGGATGTTCTGGACCGTGCCGACCCTTTCTTGGGGGTCAACGGTATGTCTCACCACCCACCACGGACAATCACACCCCACCGGACCCCTGGAAAAAGTAAAATAAATGAAAACCTAACCGGCATGCTTGCATTGTACAGTTGTCGAGGTTCCGTTCGTGTTTGTCTTACGCATAGCTGAGGGCAACCACCGCAGTGATATCGCCGTGCGTGAAACTTCCAAGGCCAAAAACCCATTGGTTGGGGGTCCCCCCTATAGCCGTTTTTCCGACCAGTTTTCCCTATCCCCCCATTCCCCCCGATCGCGGCGTCTACGCCCGTGGCGTCTCCGGCTTGAGCATCTTGTTCACCCGGGTCACCAGCTGTTCCAGCGAGTCCTGGAGGTCTACTGACTCTACGTCGATCAGTTCGGAAACATCGAAGGGGTCAGCGGATCGTAGCAGAACTGGACACCAAAGCAACAGCCAGACACGACCGATGTCTGGGACTGCCATAGGACTGCCGAGAAACGGCCGACCGGGGTGGTTGACTGGTTCCAAACCGCGACCGGTCGTGGTTTCGAACGCTCCGCTCAACGTCGTGGAAGAAGAACGGACCGCAGCCACGGACGGGTTACGTGGGTGGAACGCGGGGGAAAAGGGGTGGAAGGGGTGGAAGATGGGGATGGAAAGATGGGACGAACGAAGAAAAATTAGAGCATTTAAATGTAGGGCTTCTTACTCTTGCCCACCCAGAATTCATGAACCTTTTTTTTCTTTAAACAAATACTTATACTGTTCTTCTTGTTGTGGTGCAAAACCAGAAGAGTCGGCCAAAAAAGGCGCTTCACAAAAAACATCGCTATGATGTTGGTTCGCAGGTTCTCCTGCGAACTCGCAGCCTTCGACCGCCAGATTCTCACCTGACCCACTTCCAACACCGATCGCCACATTCTGGCCTTGAGGCTGTCGCTGACGAAGGATGGCCTGGGCGCTGCCTGGGCACGTCCGGTGCAATGCGCGTGTTGACGGTCCACGAGCGGGCACAGCCGAAGACAGACGGAAATGAGCGGACATACGGGGTGTGATGGAGTAGAAGACCGTGTTTTTGGATGTTCTTTTTGGGGGGGAGGGTTGGAGGGAAGAGAGCTGTTGGGAAAGGCACGAGAAAAAAGTTTCTGTGGCCAAGAGCCGCCAAAGACCAGTGTATTCGATTCGTCAAGTATATTGTGCTGCTTTTCAAGAAAGGGGAGGACTTATATGAAGAGGTTTACTCGATCTCTGGGAAAGATGTCGCATTGACAAAGGCTCGGCGCTGCCTCAACTGGACTGGGTCCTTGTCCTTTCACCCCTCTGGCTCATGAAGGAGCATTAACCAGTTACATGAGAGCACCTATCGGACATCGAGCTGGAAACCCTGCTCCGATTTCAAGAAACACTGAGACTGAGACACAAGAAATATCTGAAAAAAAGAATATAAAATATAGACATCCTAATCAACTGCTTTGGATAGAAGCCGGAGATGCAGGGTGATGAGTGAGGAAAGCAAAAAAGTAAAAACTTATCTTTAAACGAGGCTTCAAGAGGCAAGAGACACCAGCAAAAGCCACGTAATTACATGTCATTCGACCGTCTCCTCCACCAATGTTTGACGCGACTCAGCAATTGTTGACTTGGCGGTTGGTTAATTAATTAGACAATAAGAGAAAACATGGTCTCCAGTGTCTTCGTTTGTCCATCAATGAGGCCCGAAATCAACTCATGGGCTGGGCCTCCAGGGCGGCCTAGCTGCCTAGCTTCCATGTGTGGAAGCCGATTATGGGGATGCTTGTCCCGTGCCCAGTGTCGTGCGCCTCCAACAGGATGGTGCAGTGTGTCTTCTTTTGCGCGATGGAACGATGAATCGACGGTACCGGGCATGCAACGCGTCCCGTACCGATCTGTGACGTGTATGCAGTTGGCCCTTCATTCTTCACCTTGCCCTTGCCATAAGCAAATTGCATAGCTTGCAGGATTGGGTCTCGGTTGTTTGACAAAGGCATGGATGGAGCAAAACATCCATCACATTTCGGTCATTTGCGTAGCTGAATGAATGGACAACAATTGCATCATTTGGGTAAGCCTTCATTACAAACTCTTCAGGAGTGGACAGCGAATCGCCGCCAACAATGACCTTTTTCATCACCCTTCCCTCTTGGCATGTTCCGTCCTTTTTCACCAAAACAACCATCTCTGACTGCCTTGATGCCAAGAAAACGCCTTGAATTTTGTTTCTTTTTGTGGTGATGCCCACTGGCGTCTGATGCCCAACTCCACCCAACGCCCGGTGCCGGGGCCTCCGTGGTATAGGCACCTGGTGCCGGGGCATGGCCGGTGTCCACCCCAAAACGCTGGGCCTTTTGTGGTGTACACGGTAGACCACCCCGTCGAGGTGTATAGAATTCTTCTTGCTTTAACCTCTGAATCAACAAATCAACAGGTCCCCAACTTCCTGGACTGGTCTATCGACGTCTATTTTTATGGCATACACCCAGTCCCTGGCTATGGCATACACCCAGTCCTTGCTTACCACTCCGGTGATCCTTCTTTATCCGAACAGTCCTGGAAATCTGTTGGGCTCACCTCCACCCACCCGTCCAACTACCGGCGCCTTCGATGCGCCGCGGCGAGGACCTGGCGAGGACCGTGGTTCGGTCTGTGGGAGGCTTTTGGGGTCAACAGCGACCAATTCGCCACTTGGCTGCCGGTCTCTCAACCCCAAGTAGGTTTCAGTGTCTGTGCTTCTTTTCATTCGCCACCTGGGTCTTGGAACCACCTGGGTGGGACCATGGAAAAGGAACAAACCACCAGGGATGGTCAGATCTCTCGCTGCCGCTCGCGACCGTGGAACGGGACGCTCGAAGACCGCGGCAACACGGTTGGAGCGAAGCGAGTGCTTCGCAGCCGGAGTAGCTTCTGTTTTCCATATGGGATCCTCCCTTTTCACCGTCTCATATGTCTCCAATCAATCGCCATAGCGAAACGAGGGTATGTGGATTTTGGGATAGATAGCGTGTTAAACTATGGACGTCCATGGCCAACCAACCATGTTTGTTCTGCTCTGTCCTGTTGTATGAACATGGCGCAAACATATGCAGAGAGAATTGAAACAGGACAGGGCAAACGAGGACACACATACATACAATCAGGCATACAAACAGTCAAAGGCATTTGGAACTATTTAAGAGACTAGGCTACAAAGTTCTACCAAAATGAACATCCCAAAGCGGTCCAAATGTTTTATGTCAGTCTGCGCCAGGAACTTGGGCATGCACTCATTCATGTGAAGTCTTCCTTCTGAAGGGTAAGGGTCGGAGGTGTGCTCGCCAGATCTTTGAGGGCAGCAGTTCAATCCCTTCACGATTTACTCAGCGCCTTGTCTACAAGGATGCACAGATCGATGGCCCATCGTAGCGAGAAAAATCAGCAAGCCGGCGGCAGCTCTAAATGGATCTATGGAATTCCCCGGTTGCGTCAAGAGCTTGGAGCCTTTTTTGAGGTCTCGGAGCTGGATTGCGGACGGAGATTCTGCTCGCGTTGAATCTGCCGACCGTCGAACGGAGAGAACTCGTCCGCGTGACGAATAAGCTCGGAGTAACCAGCACATCCTGGGATGTACAAGTAGTTGTTCATCGATGTCATTCTTCCATCCAACAATCGGGAGGTTCGCATTTTGGGAGGCGCAAAACAACTATTCGGGAGGTTTTGCCCAAAATCTCGCCATGTGGAAGATCGAGAACCACCCACATCACAGTTGGGCTTCAATGGCAGCCATCTCTTCAGTGTCGATGGGCCCGTTGCCATTCACAGGAGGAGCTGGAGCTGGTGCGAGCTCTAGACATAGTGCCACGAATCGCAAGCCCTTGGTCTTGGACCTCGTTCACAAAACTGTGGACCCCAAATTTGGCTCGACAAATCTGCCATCTCAGGCCGTCAAGACACTTGACGCAGTAAGTAGCGCGCTTGACCAGCACTTGAAGGTTCGCGCCACATTTCATGGTGGAACTGGAGAACGTGTCAACATCGATTGAGGCGAAAGGCATGCTTCCTCGATTGAGGTGATCGCACAAGATCGTCTCTTTTTGCCGCCAGAGATCATGGCCAAGGAATCTTTGCCCTACCAGGGGCCCTCAAAACCATGAAAAACTTTTCACACACCAAAACCATTATTTTTTGCCAGGGAAAACTAAGTTTTTGATGGTTTGTGGGGCCCCTGGTAGGATCTGTTTCTGATCCTTCAAAGCCCCAACCGAGTTCTCAAGAGCTTGGGAAGCTTCCAAACACCGGGGCTGAACCCTCATTATCATTGCTTCGGCAGATCTTCTCATCCCTGCGAGCGAAGCATCATAACCCGCCCTTCGACAGATCGCCCAGTGAGTCGAACTGCCTCAAGTCCCTGCTGAGCAACCAAAACCATGTCAGTCGCTTCCTTAAACTTCCACCGAGCAACCGCCTTGCTCCACCAATCACCATTTGAGATCTGTATAGATCAGATTCTGCAGGTCAAAAAAACGCCCCAAAAAACCGTCCAGATGTTTCACCAACTCCCAACCACAAGAAACAAACACAACGGACCCGACGTTGCACGGTTTGTCACGTACAGATGTTGCACCTGCAAAACATCCCAAACCCAAACCCAAACCCTCCGTCCGATCACGCGTTTTTTGGTGCGAGCGGCAAGGGGGTGGTGACCATCGGCTCCTCAAAGACCTCCAAACAGCTGTCCGGTGCGGTGTCCGGTGCGACGAGTTGTTGTGTGGGGAATGGGATTTTCGTGGAGTTTAGTTTCAACTGAAGGCGAAGCACAGTTTTTTTCCCACACCTTGGCCAGTTGCCGCGCAGCATCGTTTGTCAGCGTTGAAGTTTTAGTGCTTTGTATTTGTAAGTTCAGTTGGACACTTGTTAGGCTGGGAAGCTACAAAAGCAGGAGACCAAGTGGCAACAAGACAGAGGTCATTAATTGCTATCAACAGGGTCATCCTTGACTAGCACCTTCTCATGCTCGGAGTCTCAAGCCACATGGTTTCAAGATGGGCAATCCACTTATAGTATTACAACCTATCCAAATACCAAGATTATAACGCTGTGCCATTGCCAGCATCTCGGTGTTTCTTCATACCGGTGCTTCCTCCAAAACCGGTCGCGCCGACTCCTCAGGGTCGGACCATTTCAGCCGCGCTCCGCGGACGAATGAGAGGCGACCCGGCCGCGACATCGAGCGACCCGAGCTACGAACCTTTGTCTTGGATCCCAAGCCCCGAGCTCACGGTCCTCGGGTCCAGACTCTCTGGTTTCGGTTCGCACGATGCGAACTGTGGAAAAAGAAACCCTCGACGGACCGCTGCCGCTGCCCGGCACCTCCGAAGGTGCGGAGAAAGAGGCCACCTGCGTCACATCGGACGGAGAGGAGGAGCGGCTCCCGGAGAGGCACCGGTGGAGTCGCACGGTCGTCGCGTGGGTGTCTGGGACTGGAACAACGCCAGGTGTCTGGGACTGGCATATGAATCCATACCTTGGGGTGGTTTGATTCAGAGGTCAATGCATACCATACATGGAGTGTCTGGGAAGGGAAATCACTGAACTGTGAGACCTTTTGAAAGGAAACTCACTGAACTCTATCCACCATATTAGTAAAGGGTCCAGCGGATGATGAGGGTTAGGCTGCAGGCCAACATCTCAAACAAAGTGATCATCTTGTACAGACTGTTACTGGTACACTGGTACACTGCCTATCTGCGTATAAATTTCTCAGTCATCTGAAGATTGGGCGTGGACGTCGCACATGGGTGAGTGAGCCAGTTTGGATGAAACTCTTTGCACAACCAAGTCTTGGGGTTTAGCACGGAGCATCTACAAGCACTGAGTGTGATCTGAAAGAAGTGCCAAGTACTGAAGTGCGGTGTGAATTTTGTTATTTTGAAACTCATCCAAGTCGTCGAAGTCGAAGTCACTCTCTGGACATGGCGGGCGTAGCACTCGGTCGAACTCGATGTATCAGTCTAAGTACAATCACTCCACCAACATGTCGCACAAACGATGGACTCGTGACATGGGAGCTCCGCTGTATGAGTTCACCGAAAAATCAAGAAAGACCTGTCGATCGACAGAAAAGAAAGGCTGCACCTGAAAGTAGTTACCCAAGGAAAAACAACCTGCTTTTCTGCAACACAGGTGCTGCGACACAGCTGACTCCTGCCCCGCTTGGGCAAACTGACAGTCAGTGCACTCAAGTGGATGTACGGATTGCCCAAAGAAAGGATTGGACAAAATGACATAGCATGACATGTCACTCATATATCCAGTCTTCTTAAACATCTCACCATTTGCTCCCATGTTCAAGGATGTTCCTCGTTTTAGTCCATCGTTCTTCCTCGATGTTCCATCGTTGCTTTCTCACTTCCCGCCGCGGCCTCGCCGAGGCATCTCTCCACCTGAGCGGCTGGGCACGTGACTGGGCACAAACCGTGACTCAGTTCAACGATGTATCCTTGGGTATATCCTGGTCAAGGGCCGACGGTTGCAGGCCTTTCCATCTCAAGAAGAGGTGATCATCTAGACTGCAGGTCCTGGCAGACTGGTCCTGGTGGCTACACCCTATACGTATCCCGTACGAGTTTTTGTGGAAACACTATTTAAGCCTGGAAACACTAAGCAATATTTTAGGGACACATGAAGCATCATGAAGCATTGTTGTTCATCAACTTTGTTTTACTGTAATTAACCATGGTGAAACACACCATGATATAATGGTAGTTTCGTTGGGCCTGCTGGTGTTTTTGGTTCCGTTCGACCACGGCTCGGTGGTTCGGGATGGACCTGGCTCTCAGTCCACAACGTTGGGCCACAAGCGATGCACACACCGCCGATCCACCAAGAAGCACGGTTGGTCTGGGTCGCACATGTGGGAGACCACACATGGACCGATGTCACACCGAGCTTCTTGCTATGTTCTGGTCTTTTGGTCGTTGGCTTTCACCTCTTCCAGGAGCTGAGCTCGGACGCCTGTGGCTATCCTGCAAGGCCAAAACCGCTTGTACTGTTCAAGGATGACCACAACTTGGGCGTCTTGTGCACACGATCCGTTGAGGGAAGCCTCAATGAACCTCGACTCGAAAATCAGGGCGCGAACGGCTTCCAACCTCGCTGACCACGATCGACAAGGCTTGCATCATTCCACCGTCCGTGAGCACGATCCAACGGCATCCAACGACTGACGGTGAGCAAAAGTTGACAAACACACAGGTGGACTGGTGAGGAGGTGTGGAGCGCGGATTTCCGCGCTCCATAGAGACACGACATGATGCCACCAAAAGCTGGAGATTTCCCACATTTTCCCACTACTCTGTTCATCTTCCAGCCTGTAGGCGGCGCACTGCTGGTGAAGCCGCTGCTCCAAGACGATGTCCTCCACTCACGTTGGCCCCCGAAGATCTTGCAGCCATTGTGCATCATTCATTTCACAACAGCAGCTACTGTAACTCCTGCAATAGCGCTTGGCACTCACGAAGCACCTGAAACGACCGGTGGCCGACAGCCTACTTGGTGGCTGCTTGGTCCGCAGGCCGCTGGTGTTTGTGCCGCGAACGGCGTGCTACACGAATCCGGAATCGAAGTGGATGGCCTGGAGGGCCTTGGCCTCAGGGAGTGTTCCACTTCGATGATTCCAACAGGAGTCACATGGAGTTGGGTGGCTTTTTTAGTCCCATCCAGTGAGTGGAGTAGCTGGGCACTCCGACTTCCTCCAAGTTCGGCACCCCTTTGTGACTCCTGGTAGAGTAGCATTGACCTTGCTACTGGAACAGAAAGCCCCCAAATCAAATTGCCCATTGCCCCGCTTCAGGGCGCAAAAGGGAGCATCTTGGTCACAATACCTGTGGAAGCCGTGTGCAGGGAGTGGTATTGTATGGTCCCTTCAATGCATTGCAAAACTTCCTCAAGCAGGGGCACCCTTCTTGGTCTCATCAGGGGGACCATCTAAAACCCTCCAGGTGGCCATGTCAACCCTTCGCTCGAGTCAAGCATGCTCCACGCTCCCCATCGATGCTGCTCTCGCTCGCTCGCTCGATGTCCGACGAGTCACCGAGATGAGGCGCTGAGACAAGGCTACCTCGGCGGAACGCGTCGCGCGTCACGGAGCGCGTCCGGTCACGCGGTGGATTTCGTGTCGAGCAGTTCCCGGTGGAATCGGGCTACTGGGGTGAGTGCCAGGAGGGTCCAAATAGATACCTTCTGAGTCAGTCATTGGACTAATATAATACTATACTGTATAATACTGTATATGTAGGGGTTTTGAACTCCATCTTGAAAACTGTAGTGTCGATTTTAACTGCCGTGTGTCCACTGCCACAAGTGCTTTTTCAATTTCCAAATCTAGTGGCAGTTTTCTGCAGTTCAGACCGCCTTCTTTACTCCAATGGCTCAACCCTGCTCGACCCCGCAATGACCCTTGTTTGGGTTCTTGTTTCATAATTTTCATGGGCAATGCCTGCTAGCAAAATGCAATGGACGAAAAGAAGTGAAGAATGCACTCCTGAGTTGGGTCGGGTTTGTTGGCTTTGGGTTGGTGGCACCTTTGTTCTTCGCCATCTACAGATCATCGGTCGGATATTTTTTTCAACCCTCCAGTCTAGACTGGAGAAGGGCATCCCAATCTCTGAAAATAATACTATTTATTATGGGTTTTTGGTCAATAATACTCTCTATTATGGGTTTATTTTTACTTATTATTTTCCTTTCCTTTAGGATTATACCACAAAGAGCAGCACGGGTCGAACCATCACGTGCCGCACCTGGCCACTCTCCACTCCCATCGACCACTCCGTCCCACCCGAACTGGGCCAAGTTGCGTCTCCCTTTTGTCGATCGCTCACCTTCCGTCTTGACCGAGTCACCACGCGATGTCGCAGGAGGGGGGAGCCTCCGTTCAGTAGGGGGCCGAGCCCTATCCTAGACGCGACAAATGGGACTATGAATCCATACATTGTGGGCTGGTTGAAGAGGGGTCAATGTTGTCATATATTACATGGAGCATCTGGTAATATGGCTTTTGAGAGGCCAAGGGTTTGGATGACTTATTGGAGCGTCTGCATGCAGAACAAAGTAAAAGAAGAACGAGCGACCAACCGATCTCCTCCGTTTTTTTTGGGTGAATTGAATCCGCTCGAAGGAATCAGCGCTCATTTCAATATCCCTGCATTGCGACACAATAAAATGCCAGGTGTTTCCACCATTTTCCACATGTGTTTTCATGTCCATAGCCGCTGTGGCCCAATGGGCCTCCAACCCAGAAGACCATAGAACACCTGGTTTCAGATGGTCTTGCTGGATGACCGAGGGAAAATCCCAAAGGGAACCGTGTGATTTCCTACCACTAAATTGCTGACAGAACGAATTCGGCTGGGAACGCAATCCCCTGCTCCGCTATGAAAACAGGTGATCCATTGTCTCGAGCTCCGGCTCCGGTATCTGAGGTACAGGAGAACGCGTCCATCAGCGGTACTGATTCTTCTTCAGGGTGTTGAACCGCACTAACAGTCATCACTGCAATGTCAAAACCAAAATCCATCAAGACTCGTGTGATGTTCACCTCCCCTCTTCAAGAGAAGAGCTACCAAACAACAGCAAATCCACATTGCAAAAGACTGCTGAACAACGACGGTGGGCTCCGGGCTCCAAGTTCTCAACAGATCTCAACAGTACACGCTGAACCCCACGGCATCAACACTGATGTTCACCTCTTTGGTAGCCTCATGCAAAGCAATGCAAAGCTGCGAGTCGGGAGAACCAGGGAAGCCCAGTCTCCACTCGCCTCTCCCCGCCTCGTCACAAAGCTTCTCCCCCAAGTGCTCGGTGCTTTGCGCGATGATCTGCACCAACCTCATCGGGCTGTGCGTGCTCGGGTGGCCGTGGTGTGTGGCCACCACAAGGGTGAAACGGTATGCACGTTTGTATCTGGATATAATCCAACGATGGCATGACCCATGTCTGAAATGGACATTCTCAATCGGTACACAACATGTCACCAGCCTCATGAGGCTGGATGTTTCATGGCAAAGGCCAAATCAATTAAATTTGACATAGTTTTCGTGTGCCTCAAGTAATCAACATGTCTTCAAATATCTACCAACATCATACCACCCCTGAAGCTGGTCACACACGCACACATACACACACACTTTCCACGCAGATGCCGTGCGTTTCTCGTCCCTCGCCCGTCGCGACGAAGCTCACGTCGCCTGTCGTCCTTCCGACCGCGGAGGGCGCCTGACCGTCTCGGTCATCTGCCCAGCCAGCGCCGCGTTCGACTGCAGCCCGAAGCCTCCGCGGGTGCGACGGGTCACCAGGGCGAGGTGTCGAGCCTCGCTGGGAGGTTGACCTGGGTGTCACCAGGGTGTCACCAGGGTGTCACCAGGGTGTCACCAGGGTCACCAAGTTCTTCCACCCCTTTTTTGCAGAGAATGTTCGTTTTTTTCTCAAAGAACCTTTTCATGGGGATGGGTCCTTAAGACAAAATCTCAGGCATCCCGGCATCCGTCTCAAGATTTGTTTTGATGAGGAGCACCATTCATCAGGTTTGTTATGGGTGTTAAAGCCACATTTGGAAAGAGATGGGAAGAGTGAGTGAACCCCCCTGCACATGGGATGAGATCTTTGGGAAGAAACCATAGGCCAAGAGGAGCCATAGAAAGGTGTGGCACCAAACGAGGAAACCGATTCCTACTTGGAATAGGTATGAGCATGAGGTGCTTTCCATTGAGAATGAGGAGGGAGAGGCCTTTTGAAGAGCACCCCGAGGAGAATGAGCAGGAACACGGGGGTACCACACATGATGGGATCTTTGATTGGGATACTTGGCGGACCTCGGGGAGAGTATTGAGGTGTACATCAGAAAGGAACTGCATGAGCATGAGAAGCAAATGAGCTCCGTCCGCGACGCCCCGGTGTGGCGGTAGCCCAAAGCAGCAACTACAATAAAATCCAACACAAGACACTAGGCGCCCAGCAGCGACGATGGCAACTAGTTGAACTACTTGGTCGGCTCATGTCGGCTCTAAGAAAGTGTTTCAGCTTGGGTGGCCTCAAATCCGCGGGCATACCCTGTTGCCGGTGCCGTCCAGATGCATCCAAGAACACACATCTCAGTCCAGAATTCTAGGGTTCAGCTCTCTCTTTTTGGCCGCACTGGTGTTGGCGT